AAAAAAAAAAAAAAAAAAAAACTAAAGCTGTACTGCCACTGTTCACCTGTCGTTCAAATATTGTTCATACCATCCAGAACATTCATTACAAGCCTTTTTCGCCTTCACCTATATCTTTTGTTCTACTTTTCTTTTTCACCTTTGTAGTCAATTAGTTCTCTTGACAACTTGCAATCAACAGCAACGGTGACTGTGACGCTGAAGATATTTGAACAAATCGAACGAAATTTGCAGTTTCCCAGCATACTGTTCACCCAAACATCGTAGTATCTACCAGACAGCAGTTTTCAGTCACTTAAAATGTTTCGATACTTCCGTGGTTCTCTTATCCTCGTCTGTCTTTTTTTTTCTTTCACCATCTTTACCCCTCTCGAAATGCACTCAAACAGGTAACAGGCAGCTTGTTTAAAAAATCTTTTTTTTTTTTTCTGGAGAAAAACGTTCCTTTGCTTCTTTTCAGTTTTTTCTCTCCTTTACTTTTTATTTTCTGCTTATTTTCCCAGTCTATTCAACAATTTTCAGTTGGTAAAAACCAAAAAACGGTAAATACTAAAACAATGATAGAAGTGTAATTTGCGGAATGGTTAAGAGAAGGATTTGATAAAAACTGGTGGAAAAAAGATGGAAACGAAGTGGTTAGGTGAAAAGTAGGGAAAGAAGCAAATACAAAGAACTGCAATATATACCAAAAATAAGTGAATGTATAATTTTTTTTTGCTCAATCCAAACAAAAAACAAATGAATAAAATTGGGTCAGCAAGAATGTCACCAAAATGACAAGCAAAAAAAATTCTATTTTTTTGAATAATAAAAAGAAAAGTTAAGATTTTCTCGAACCACTCTTCAATTCCATTGAACATAAGAACGGCTTCCCAATCGTCCTCAGCTATTTTTTCTTTTTTTCTTTTCTATTTTTCTTGCTCATATCATTCCACTGTCTACTAAACATTGAATAAATCGAACAAATGCCGAGGAAATGCACACAAATAAACTGTTACAAATAAAGTGTCAACCAGCAAATTTAACATATAACAATTTTTTAAGAATTATGAAGAAAACGGTCTTCTAAGCAAAATTTTCTAATTCCCGCAACACTGTTGATAATCGATACCGTAAGAATACTGCGATTAAAGGAACGAACCGCGGTAAAGTTTTAAGCAAGAGATTCATTGACTACGAACACCTCAAACTTGAATAATTAAACCCATCCGGCAAAGTTTGAAGCAAAAAACTCGCGGCGATAATGCCTATATAAAAAAAAGCAATCCTTCGTAAAGTAATCAGATACAGCCAAAGTTAAAGGAAATGGTGATAATAAGAAATAATGACTAGCAATGCCCAAAGAGGTACTGAACAGCCTCGTGGGGCTAAAAAAACATACAACAGTAAGTCCTTTCTGACACTTCTTTATAGTTTTATTTCTGTGGCAAACCTGTAGCTTCGCTTCTCTCAAACGCTTGCCACCTTTAATCTTTGCTTCTCGCGACACCCCCAACT